TACCATTGGAAATTCACCCAATTATTTTTACTTAATATCAATGTTACCAAAAAGCTAGGTTGTGTCATGTAGTTTTGTTCACTGAAAAAGACGTTACCTTCTGTTAACCTGCAAAATGTAAAATAAAATAAAAAAGAACTTGATAATGTTCTGCCACAGACTGACACAAGAAAAAGCTAAAAACAGATTTATTTTCTTTGTGCAAATGTTCCCATAAATAATTTAAGAACACTGTTTATTTTTTCCGTAAGCCGTCGAGATGACTCAACAGATAATCGGTACAAAACAATGTGCCTTCACTGTCCTAGAGCAGCTTGAAGACGCATGGCTTCCCATTCCTCCACTAGGGGGCAGAAAACATCAGAACAAGTTTGCAGACACCTTCTCCATATCCATGCCTTTCACTCTTAACACAATGTGGCTAATGTGTTTATGAACAGCTGCTTTCTTTCAGGGAGACTCAGAGGCACAGAGCATTCATTGTGACCTCATAAACATATTCATTCTGCTTATAAAAAGTTACCCACTATCTAAGAGTATATTCATCACAGCTTCGTACGGGAGCAGAGTTTGAGACTAAACCGTCAGAAGTTAGGCTGAGGTATTTTTTTTATTTTATTTATTTATTTATTTTTAGGCTTTTTGTGCTTTTAATGGAGAGATAGGACAGTGGATAGAGTTGGGAATCAGGGAGAGAGAGTGGAGAATGACTTGCGGGAAAGGAGCCACAGGCTCAGAACCTGGGCCGCCCGCTTGAAAGACCACAGCCTCCACACATGGGGCGCGCACACTAACCACTGCGCCACCAGCGCCCCAGGCTAAGATATTTCTCTCAGTGGTGACTGGTTCAGTTGCGCTTTCTCACAGACGAACCATGAACATAAACTGTATAAAACATGGATGTAGTGTCAGTGATGTCATCCATTGGTTTCTAAGAGGCGTTATGAAGCTATAGGGGTGAACACGAGAAATGCGATAGCTACCTAGCTTTTGATCAATCAACAGACAATGAGGTGAAGCTGGAGAGGGCCTTAACCTTCCTTGCATAAAAGCTTTAATGCACCCACCTTTTTGTAGACTAAGCCACGCCACTCATTCAGAAAGGAAGCTTAACTCTTACTGCCAATTTCCACATGGTCCATGCGTGCTGCATTCTGTCAGTGCCACGGTTTTGCTCTGTCAGACGGAGTGCGCCCTGCCCACTGGGTCCATTTCTGGGAGCATGAGGGCAGAGGAGCACAGCCATGAGCAGTACACACACATCACAGGAGAATTACAAGATCACCCAGGAATAAAAAGAAAAACTTGGAAACAACATGCTACTTTGTCTTTCCCAGGTTGATTTGTTGTTCATTCAATGCCTATTTTTTCATAATTTTGATAAAGTGATGGAAGATACTAGCAGGAGTCCGTGTATTGTGTTTTATTTTGAAATTTTACCGGATGCTCTGACTTTCCTGTTATGACTTCCTGCCCGGGTCGATCTACTCTGTTCAGCTTGACGCATGCTTGCACCGGGCTCTGACGCATATTGATTTGAAGCGTATTTGGAACATAGCAGAGTGTAGTGGCACGCTCTGGAGATGGGCCACAGTGCTTGCTGTTGAAACTTGAGCACTGACTATAGTAACAGACCACGGCACACACGGACTATGTAGAAATTGGCAGTTAGCCTAGATATTATTGACATGAATGTTCTAAAAACAAATTCACACTTTTTACATGTGAAGAAATTAGCTTGAGGCCAAAAACAGTTTCTTAACCAGGCTGTAAACGTGTTAATTTCTGCAGTCAAAATAATGTATTTTGCACATTAGCTGGGTTATATTTACTTTGCTCTTTTAAGGAATTTAGATTTTTAAAATAGTTTTTCAGTTCTGTCATCTCCCTTGTGGTCGGGTGCCACCCTAGCGCCCTTCATTGACCAGCTGCCACTGATGCAGCATGGACTCTTTGAACCATTGCATTTTTGAATACCTCTCTTTTTTTGACCCTCCAACATGAAGTATACTTTGGCACTCTAAGTCCGTCTAATTCTTTCAAAAACACTTAGAGAAATAATTTGTCAACTTTATTTCATATGCACCTCAAACAGCACCTCAGCACAGCTTCCAGCCATTATGAATTCATTGCAATAACTATTCATCTTCTGGACCTCGTTCAGTTTTACTTAACACTTTTATGCAAATGTAATCCTCCTTTCTGTTTCTGTCTGTCTCTGAATCTCTGTGTCAAGTGCTGCTTCATTAATATTTGATGTAACTTAGGGTAATGATGCACTTATACTCCTTGTGTGAAAGCTGTGACTGTGTGGAAGTGCTGCCATGTGATGTGTGTTTGTTGGATATCATAAAGGCGGAGAACAATTCAGTTTAAAGTAACAAACTGCTTATTGTTGTATTTAGGATGCACCAGCAGAGGCCAGTAAGCACCAGAGTATAGTGGCAGTGTGATACGTGAGCGCATGTACAACACAGTGCATTATTGATGAACTTGGAAGGTATTTATACAACATGTTACAGTCATCTATCATTGATTTCTTGTTTCCATTTCATGGTCCAGATAAATTGCAACAGAGGCGCAACTGGGTTCAACTTCATAGTATTCCCATGGTTTTGACTTTCATTTCCAAGCCAATATTACAAATGAAAGATTTATTAGATGTTGCAAGATGGCCTCAAAGTGTGCTTCTTTAGCTTAAATGTAATGTAGTTTTAATGCATGCGAGAGTCGACGATTGAAGTCAACACAGCAGTGATACATGAACGAAAAATGTCAGGGCTTAGAAAACACCTTTTCTATGTTAACACAAGCACACTATCAATCCTCATACAGGCCTCATTTCACAGATTTCCTGCACCATCACACTCTGCGAATGGACTCCACAGCTAAAAATGAAAGGGAGCTCTGTTTGTGTTCACAAAACAGGTCTGCACAGGGCGTTGCATCCAGTAATGTAGGAACATCTGGATGTGTGTCAGCCTGTATTATGGAGGAATATGTTGTTATGATCTGATTTTATGGAGCAGAAATTTGAGTATACAGCTTGAAAACATGGCATGGCATTTTTTCTTTATTTTCTAAATGATAATAGGATGCTTTAAGGACTTTCATGTATTAGGCATACAGTTTTGGCTAACTTGCCATTCGTGAAGATGAATGAAGAACAGATTTGTGGTAAAAAAAAAAAAGTGTTTGCATTTTTCCAATAGTTATTACTACTCTGCTTCATAGTTTGTACTATTGGATGTTTAAATATTTTATAAAATTAACTGTTTTCTTTTGACAATTACCCTTTTGCAGACTGACACTTTCTGCCTATTTGCAGATTTGAATAACTTTCAATATCATTAAAATATGTTTTCTGTGACTTTGTGTCTCTTTCCCTTCTTTCCATTCCATCTTTTCATTTTGCTACAGTGATCTAAATTTTATTTTCAGTCCTCCCTCCATGAATAGATGATGGGACATTTTTGACACAGTGTTATTTTTCACATTTTCCATCAGATCCTGTTTTGGTTTCACTTAACTTTGTTCCTCAATGAGGCACTAACATGGGAAAGCTTTAATAGAGCTAGACTCTCACCTTGTGCCATTTCACAGACATATAACAAACCATTGCATGCTGCATGCACCAACACACACAAAGTAGGTCACCTTGATGTGTGATGCTGAGCTCAGCTGGTACATCTGTATTTGTGTGTGTGTGTGTGTGTGTGTGTGTGTGTGTTTGTTTGTAAGTTTGCACCCTTGTGGATTGTGTTTTGTCCTCTCATGTTCTCTGCTTTCTTGTGCCCCAGAGAGAGTCACCTCATTAGACTGGCTCTAAGTCATTTAGCCCCAAACTCTAATTCAATAACACGATCTGGAGTCAGCTCTTCCAGTCATGTGTGCTTATGTTGCACACGGCGAACAGACCTGAGCATGCACAGATACCGCATAGTGATATCATACAGTGAGTCAGGACATGATTTAGGAGGCCGTAATGAGCTTTCGTCATGCAAACCCATGTTTGAAATTTACATAAAGGGCATATACGTCCTAAATTACATCACCAGTGGTAAACAGTGTATGACACATGGAGCATCATTTCTCTACGTGTGCCACTGTGAAGATAAATCAACCCCCATGAACCAACAACATGAAGAGTCCTTCAGCCTGAAAATCCTTGAATACTCCAGAGAAGGACGAGACAAGGCCAGTGTGGAACACATACAGACATGAACAGACACAGGTTACACTTGCAAACAAACTAATCTGCCTCTGTCCAGCCAGACGGACACATATGGTTTTATTGTTTTTTTTTTTAAATCTCCAAATAGTTGCATGTTCCATTGTCGCTCCTTCCTGTTACCTGTTCTACTAACAACTTAGTCATTCATTATGTTATATTTTATAAACACGCCTCTGGTGTCTACGAGATTAATATGTTTTCATGAGTCCCATTCGATGATTGGACGAAGGATAACTACTTCATTTCCTTAAATGTGTCCTATTGATACATTCTCCACTGTGACAGCAGAGTGACATACAAGGAAAAAAAGACACCTGCACAATGTAAACTAGAATTAGTCTGTTTTCAGTTTGGCGGTATCACTCAGATACAATTTATTTGAGCTAAATTATTTTTCCCTGCTTTATGGTTTGCTGACTCCATTAGCCTGAAAAGGTTTAGAAAATGGAGCAGTGAGAGCCACTTTACTGCATTCAGAGCTTGCCCATTTAGATTTGGCTTCCAAATGGAATATACCACATAGAGATGCGGCCAAAGGTCCCTTGTTAGAGAGAGTGATGTGGTGGGGCATGACCCGAGGTAAGGGTCGAGGTAAGCCGTTTATTCAGATGCAGCCTTCGTGCATACAACGGACCAGTTGTACACACAGGATAGTAGTAGTAGTAAGGCTGCGTTTGGCCCAACCCCAAATTCAAGTGGGAGAGGATGATGACGAAAGCGCGTAAATTGTCAGCTGGAACCAAGAGGTGCACTGACGGTGCCGTAAGTAAACGGCGAACCAAGCAGCACAGCTCCCAGAGGCTCCACATCAAGGGAACCGGGACGCTATGGGTTACGCGCGCGATTTCTAGAAGAACCGATAAGAATGTTGCTTTGTGTCTTTCCCATCATCTCTCCTGTCTGGATTTTAGAAAGATGCAGCGCGTGTCCCTCCGTTTTTTGAGACTCGTCAAACTTTGCTGGCTAGGGAGTCACATTTGACTAAACAAAGTGCCAACAGAGACGTAGAAGTTAATTCATTGAAAATGTCAACGACGCAGTTCAGCTCCCCGGCGCCCAACCAGAGCTACCCTTCGCCGGCCACCTACGAGAAGACAGACCCCGCGGGGATGGAGAGGCACATTCGCCTTCTTCTTTTCGGTTTGTGCGTAACCATCGCAGCCGCTACCTTTGTCGGAGGTGTGTATTCTCTGCTCTCTCTCCTCCGGATGAGGAGGAAAACCTCCCTGTCTCTCATTGTGGCTTCCATGTCAGTGGACGACCTCCTCAGTGTGGTCCCACTCTCCTTATTCACGCTCCTACAGTGGGAGACGGATGGAGGTGGAGGGTCGGGCAGTCTGTGCACTTTATCGGGACTTCTCTACGTGTTCCAGGGTGTTTCAAGTAATATGAAGGCGTGCCTCATAGCAGCCTACACTTTTTATGTCACAAAGAGATTTGGAGTGCTTCAGTCAGTCCGCCGGCCCCTGAGGGTGATGTGGGCCGTCGGCGGTGTGTGGGCGGTCAGCTTGACAGTCAGTGTGTTACCTTTGTGCGGATGGGGCAGCTTTACGCCGGCCTCTCTCGGGTGCTTCCCTGAGAGTGACAGTTTTTACATCCTGCTGCTTTTCACTTTATATTCCCTGTGTTTCTGCGGCTTGTTATTTTTTTTTATCCCGCTCACCTATCAACTGCTGTGCTCCAGAGAGCCCCAGAGGACTCTACTGTACCCCGGCTACTTGGACATGGCGAGGGGGCTGAGTGGCTCCGCTCCTCTTTGCGATCTCCAGTCATTTTCCCGGAACAGCCTGGACAAAAGTTTCGGTGCGTACAATGAGCTGAGTCCAAGTTCATGCGGGACACAGCTGAGAGAGAAAGAAGACGTCGGACTGTCCCCGTTGTCCCTCAACGGGCAGAGGACTGCTGCTGCCGTCGAGGACACACCAGTGGTGTTTGCACAAAAGCGTTTCTCCATGATCCTGGCGGTGGTCCGAATCATCTTATGGATGCCGATAATGGTAAGAAGTGTAATCAAGACAAACACAACAAAATAATTAATTATTTGAAACGAAACACGTCTGCTAAATGCAAATCTTTACTCCCCTTTGTCAGTAACATACAATCTTGCCGTAGAATCTTGGTACTGGTTTCAATCTTTTTTTCAATCTCAGAAGTTTATAATGCTTTCCCCTGTAGTTGCACTGACAGGTGTTTCTATAAAGCTCATGAAGGAACTATAGCCTATATCCAAATGGTTGTCCCTTTATATTGCAATAACTTATTTTAGAGGATAAAATAACCCCCCCACTACTAAACAGCTATCTTCTGCAGAATGTTGTTCATGACTGCAACATCACCTTCATCCCAGAAGAAAACCAACTTTTCTGTTAAAGTTTGTGTTGAAGCTATATGTGGACAAAACAAACAAACAAAACCACAGAATATGGGGTCTGAAGTCTGACAATACTGGATTATTCTGTCTTGTGATAGGAATGACTTGTTCCTCCTCTGATATTTGAGACCCATTAAGAGGGTTGTTCCAAGGGAACAATTCCTTGAGGTAACTGAGAGACTAGTAGTTAAAGGATATAGTTTTGAATTGAATTGTTATCTGTTACCTTCAAAGATTCATGTTAACCAGGGGTGTAAATGATTCATCATGGGTTGGTTCACAAAATTGTATTAAACATGAATATTTGAAAAATGAGCAATAGCAGTTATAATACCGTTGATAATGATGGTACATTTTACAACGCTAAACACATGATTGCCCACTATTACTGTGTGACAGTTACACCCCAAAAAAGAAAACCAGATTTGAACTCTGTACAGCTAAGCAAACAGTGATTGGAAAACACATATTGGTACTCCAAACATGAAGCAATATAAATGAGACATTGCAGAGGAGAGTTTTTATCTCAGTGGAATTCTTTTTATTTCATTGTTTTGTTTTCCCAGAATCAAAGAAGTCAAAATAAACATGTCCCATTTAAGACTTATCCGAACTTGATACCTGTTATATGTTTCTACATTTCCTAGAAATCTAGAACCTAATCATGGTCATTAAAAGTACTACCTTTAAAGGAACACTTTCATTTTCTAATCAATGGTGGTATTTTAATTGTAGTACCTCCATGAATAGTGCAATAGAGAAACTCTCATCATGCTGTCTTTGGCTCACACTGATATGACATATTAGAATAACAAAACAAAACAAAACAAAACAAACAAAAAAAAAAAAAACGAGCAAAGGAAGCAAGTAATGGTGAGCGTTTCTTTGTAATTTCTCTCTATTCATTCGTCTCACTCCCCCCCACCTCCTCCTGGGTGAATTCATTTCCCCTTTGCCTTCATTCACAGACTTTGGTGCTGCTCCGCCATGCACTGCATGCACGTAACTCCTCCCTGGAGACTCTCGGCTTCTTTCTGACTCTGCTCGCCCCTGCGGTTACTCCACTGTTCGTGCTATCTGAGCGCTGGATCCACATGCCGTGTGGCTGCTTCATTAACTGCAAACAGGATCCAAAGCAGGAACCCTCAGGTAAGCCATGTTGACCAACAATTACCATCAATGCACAACCACTGTGAACACTGAACCAATTACACAGATGAAAACATAGAAGATTTCAGTGTTTTTGGCAAAGATTAGTTAAGCATTATGTTCATTTTACTTTTTTCCTCAGAGTTAAAAAGAAGATTTGAGTTCAGCCTTTCCTTCCAACAAGGCTATGGAGTGTACAAACTTTCACATGCCACCATGCCTCACAACAGTTCCCCCCTGGAGAAGCCTTCCTATCACAGCCTGTTTAACTGTGGCTTCCCCAGTACCCGCCTTGATGCACTTGAAAGTGGCGGCCTCTCAAGCTTGGGGCCCAGTTTTGATTTCAGCACCCCCTGCCCCGTGGACAGCTCCTCTCATGCAGACCTGCTGCTGGAAGTTGGAGCCGATGGAGGAGAGGCATTGGCTGATTGTCCTTCGCTTCCTCATCAGAACCACGGAGATGATGAAGGGGGCTTCCGCTGTGTCCCTTTGCTGTGTTCTCATCAGGATCACAATCTCACGGACACTTCGTCTGTGTTCGATGGGGCTGAGAGGAGGCTGTCGCATGAAGAGTGTCGGAAAATTGAGCTGACAGACTGGGAGTGGTGCCGGAGTAAATCAGAGAGAACACCCAGACAGGTACACCACTCTCCTCAAGCAGAGGAGAGAAGTCTGTTTATTAGTCTGACGTTAACCCATCAAACTAAGCCATTTGTACCTGTCATTCTGAGGTTTATAACTAGAGATAACTGGTTTCCCACACTGAGCCTCTATTGTTTATCCAAACTAGTCAAACAACTGCTGCATTTGCACACAGCATATGTTGTTCTCTAGAGATGATCGTTAAGGAGGAGTGATTGAAGTCCCATAGACCATAAAACAGAGGAATTTTTAATCTTTCTTGCTGTGTTTACATTTTGTTCAAAAGGAAATTGTATGTTGTCTTAGTGCTGTGCACCTATACAAAGATACAGGCACAGGTACACACAGCTGGTAGAATAAGATGCAGTCTTTAACCAGGCATGAAAGAAGAAGAGTGTGTATGTGTGTGCTTTCTGGTCTGTCTGAAATCCTTTCTGTTTGTGCGTCTCCTCTCCTCTTCCTCTCCTCTCCTCTCCTCTCCTCTCCTCTCCTCTCCTCTCCTCTCCTCTCCTCTTCCTCTCCTCTCCTCTCCTCTTCCTCTCCTCTCCTCTCCTCTCCTCTCCTCTCCTCTCCTCTTCCTCTCCTCTCCTCTCCTCTTCCTCTACTCTCCTCTCCTCTCATCTTTCTGCACATTTTTTTTTGTACTAAGCTTAAAATGGTTTTAGAATGGAGCATTTGATAAAGATACCATCAGCACCATACCATTTCAATAACAAATCACTGCCTGTCTTTCAAATCCCCAAATTCATGCATTGCTGCTCATTAGGCCCTCCAAAATCAGACCAGCTTTCAAGGCTCAGATTGATTCAGTGATTTAGTTTTTTTTTTTTTAAAGGTAATGTTTACTGTTTCAACGTGATTTCTCCTCTGAAGGTTAGCTCCTTTGTGTGTTTTCTGAATGTGTGTGTGTGTGTGCATGGCTACGATTTGCAAAAAAAAACATGGCTTGCAAACTGTATGAAAAGTTAAACGCAACAAATTTAGTATTCATGTTTTACTGCCCGCAAATGTATTATTTGCTTACTCACTCAATAGTTAATCTATCCAGTAGATGCAAAGTCACAGAGCGCTAAATGCAAACAATGCAGCTCAAGGCAGTTTGCTACAGGCTCATGAATCTCTATCCTCTAATCCACCTTTAATCCATTTCTTTCTTCTAGTGTTGACATGCTGTTCTCGTGTAATACCAGAAGCCTAATGCTTCTGTTTTGGTGGGCCCAAATTCAATAGTTTAACAAGGACAAAAGAGTAAAGCCTTAATAATGAATGTATCCTGGCCTTAGATTTACCAGAAACAGAAGACAGAACATTCTCACTCTGATCCAGTAGCAACAGGCATTACCGTCTTAACTGCTGGCAAACTAAACGTGACTCTTGGAGCGATAGCACTGTGAGCTTGTTTTAAACACACAAAGCTAAGCAAGGACATGAACAGGCCGAGAAGCACATACATGTGCACACAATCAGATACATGCACATGCTTCCTCTCCATCTCCTTTCCTCCCTGTCTCTGCTCCACTCATAAGTCTGAAATGTTCTGTATAAAAATCACCAGAGGGTGGAAAATCCATGGAGCATGCATCTACGGCTCAGCTTTGGCACTCACTTTGCATCATGTGTAAGTCTTAGATGTTCACTGCTGGCTTGAAAATCAGTTTGTGTGTGTGTGTGTGTGTGTGTGTGTGTGTGTGTGTGTGTGTCCTACTTGTCAGTTTCTTAGTAGAAAAAAGTGTTTATGCTCCATTCGGCCTTGTCTATTGAATCTGGTCAATATATAGAAGTGCAGCTGCAGAATGTATGTGCAGTAACATATTGCATAGAAAAATAAATTACATTCTGCAACCCAGAAAATCCCCCGTCTTCCCTCACAAACATACAGATACTGTGTTGCACCCAAAGCCTGGAAACAACAAATGAAAGCAGAGCCCAAAGAGTTTGTGATTGATAGAATTTCCAGGCAGTGTTTTGTTCCTCGTTAGCAGCCTAGATGTCATTACCCAGCTTCTGTTCTTCTTACTGTCAGCCCCTCTGGCCTTCAGTGTCCGCAGGGAGAGGTAAAATTAGAGCCTAAAGACATCTTTACCCTCTCTGTGACTTTACACTCTCTATTAGCACCCACAGAGCCGGGGGGTAAATTCACAAACCCTCTGCCAGAGGGGAAACGGAGACCTAAGGTGCATTCAGATAAACGTAGGAAACTAAAAACCTCTTTGCCTTCTGAATACACATTTAAAGCTGTAAATAAATGTTGTTGGTTCCCATAAGGCTAATGGATAAAATAATTGATTTTGAATGAACAGGAGTATAACACAACAACAACAACAACAATTAAAACAACAATGTCAAAAACACCAGTTACAATTACAACAATAAAAAACAATATAAACAAGCACAATGACAAAAATATCACTTATGATGAAGTTGATTTGTACAGCACTCAAAACTGATGTTATAAGGTGCTTGAAATAAAATCACATTCATAAAATAAATCCAAATACTACAAACATGATGGGATTTGATTTGATGTGTCATTAGCTTTGGCCGTAATGGTTGACAGTTATTAGTATCCAAGTATAGATTATTTTTGGGCTTTTTGTGCCTTTATTGTAGAGATAGGATAGTTGATAGAGTCTGAATTCAGGGAAAGAAGTCATTTTAAGGATATCGTTCCAATAGAACAGGACAGCTGTCATTAAAAGTAACGCATGAACACCGAGATTCCTTCAAGTGTTTGTGTCAGTGTCCGTCTGCCCGCACCCCCCCCACCCCACCCCCCAAAGCTGTAAACCTAGGGGAAACACTGAACACTGTTAATCATCACTAGACACCAAGCCCAGCCAGGGCTGAAGGGAAGGGCGATAGAGTAACAAGTATTTTATGCCCAGAATAAGAGCAGGTCACCTAAGTTATTACAACTCATCCTCAGCGGGAAAAACAATGTCTTTACAAAATGTTATCAGCTTCCAAACAAGGTTTATACAGACATCTCCATCTCGCCACATATGTCTACCTCATTGCAGTTTGAAATGAAAAGCCGGGAAATTACCAATTTGATTAGGATTTTCCAATCTGCTCTATGTCTCTCAGTTGATAATTTGACATGTTGGCCTTTCAAATTGCTTTCCAAAAGTGAAACATCAGGGGGATCACAAAAGTCATCATGATAAATCCAGGCATAATGAATATCATTTTCAACAGTGCATGCCAATCCACCTAATATTCAACAAGACATTTCTCTCCCCCAAAAAAGTCTTGCAATCTCTTCAAAAGAAATGATTGAGATGTTTCTGCCTGGTAGTCATCCAGCACAACCATCCAAGGCACAACCCAAAAGCTGTTTGGTAAAAGCAATGGGAATGAAAAGTTGATATGTAACAGAAAATGTATAAATTATGTGAATGTACTGGGAACAATGCACCTTTACACACAAACCATCAACTGTAACTTTGACATTTAGTCTCAGTGAAGTCACTCAGTAGTTTCTAGAGAGGAATTATGAAGCCGTATGATGTTGGTTGCCACATTGGAAATGCTGATTACAACTAACATCTGGCTATTCAAAAATCAAAACCGGGGATTTGAGGGGGGGAGTCTGGCTGAATAAATATGTTGGTTGCTGAAACACGCCAATCTAGCTCATCGTCTAGCTGGCAAATTCCAGTGGTGAAAACGTCACGGTCCAGAGCCGACAGTTGGAGTTTAGTAATGGAATTTAGCTAAAGTGAAACACAGCCTGACAACCACGCCCCTTATTCTGCGTAATTATGCACAACTCTTAGCCTTGACATAATCAGGACAGATGAGTTGTGAAAAAACTCTGCCCATGTATCGTTTGAGTGAATAAGAAAACTAGCTAAAGAGACCAAACTTTTTTTTTGGCACCAGGACATAAACATATTTGTTTTTACTTTAAATATCTATTTTAAAATGGTCCAAATGATGATTCATCAGTTTTTGGCACTGGATTCAAGTGGACGCTCGAGGAACTGCAGTTTTTCTTTTTACACTTCTGCAATTGCTTCATTTTCAACCACATTGATGCCGCATGACACACAACCATCCATTAAAGTAATCAAATCACGCTGATGACTTCTAAGTATTATTTGAATTGCTTGATGTGTTTTCAGCTACACTGCTGTCTCCTCTCTCAAACTCTGGGTCTCTTTTCATTGACTAAGATGAAGAGGCAATGACAAACGGAGTCTCGGGGAGAACCGGAGATTGACATCGTCTTTGTCTCTGTTGTGCGTCATAGTCACAATCAGATCATTACATTAAACTAATCTAAATAATTAAGAAGGCTTAATGAGACCTGCCACAGTCTCCTCAATGTTGCACCACAGGATGCTTCCCCTCCCCCCCTTCCCCCCTGCCAACAATATACATCATCTTCTCATACACATCATGTTGACAGACAATCATTTTTGATGCACTGTGTGGTAAATTAACCTCTGAGAAAACAATATTAAAATGGACTAGAAACTATGATTAAAAAATGTGAGGGGTATAAATGAGGCCTGAAATTGGAGAAAAAAAAATCCATTCATCAAACCCAGAGAAATGTGATAAATGCTTTAAACACGGATATCCTATTATTCTGATGAAATTACCTCATAGAAAAATCTCTTTAACAGCTAAATAACGTGTGCTTCCATCTTTCTGCTGTGAACCTAAAAGCTTTCTGGCTGCTTCTATAAGCATTGAGCTCCTACATCTCATTTAAACAGCACACTGCTGTTGACAAGGCTATTACATGAAAGCCTCATTAACTCATGAGATCGAAATGGTTGGTCAACACATTTATCTCCCTGCCCTTGACATCATGGACACAATCTAAGCTTTATTAGTTTTAACAAAGGGAGTGAATGCGAAAGGACCTAGTAGGCCATTCTTGTCAGTAATATGATGGGCAGCCAAGATGGATATGTGTTGGAATTAAATTTGAAGTAATGAGACATGTAATGTTAATACATTAAGATGTTTAGTATTTGATAATGTTTCCCTTTTCTTTGGTTTTTCCTGCACAGAGGTCATCAGGTGGTTTGTCAATCCCCCTGTGTGCCTTCCAGGGCACCGTATCCCTCCAAGCACCTACAGGGAAGACCCTCTCTCTCTCCACCTATGAGGTCAGCAGTGATGGACTCAAAATCTCCCCAAATAACGCCAAGAAGGTAACAACCATCAGCCACAGTTTCAATTCCTGTTGAAGAAAAATGCCTATAATTTCCTCTTGAGAGTTACATCAAAGACTCTCATTTGTGTCCAATGAACATGAGGCTAATTCCAAAGATAGTAAGCTATAAAAAAGTGAAGGCAGGAGGATACATCTGACCCGGCTCAACCCATGCACAAAAAACTACAGGTTGTGGTTGTTTTTAGATTCCGGGTTGACTTATGGACATGCTGCAGCATTTGTATGAAGTGTAGCTGGAATTATGAGCTTTGGAGCTTCAGAAGCCCTTTCCACATATTACCAAATCTGCTGAACATGTACCAAAGTATTTGGGGCTGAGTGCAAACAACTGTCATTTTAACCCTGAATCCTGACTTTTTCCTAAGTCTGTTTCTACTGTAATTTCGTCCATTCTGTGAAGCTTTGATAAAAAGGCAAAAACTGACATCATGGCGCCAGGCTCTGTTGCTTCAACTGCCATGTTATATGTTGTAATTATTACACACTTCTGAATTAGATCCCCACCCCCCATCTGACAGGGAAAATCTCCACTGTTACAGACATTTGTGAAAGAGCCACTCAGGAAGATTTAATTAGGAGTGCATAATTATGTGAAAAGGGCTTGAGAGTCCTTCCTGTATTGTCCTCTAACTCTTTCCATTAATGTATGTTTTCAAACTGTAAAACTATGAAATTTACTGTCAGAAATTTAATTCAATTACTACCCAGGATTTAATCGACACAGGGCAGCTTTAAATATTAAAAATACTAAATACTAAATACAGTATATAAATACTGTTCCAATGGGCCGATTTGGCCAAGATACTATTTAAAAGTTTATTGAATAATTTTTTACCCCATACCATTTATGAAACACTTCCAAATCTCCCTCTGCTTCCAAGGTTGAAGTGTATCGCTCCAAATCGGTCGGCCATGAGCCCAGTGCAGATGACCCGGCATCAGGAGGCCATGCAGAAGACGTAAATGTCAATAGCCTGGGGATGGGCATGGAGATCGGAATGGGCATAGGAGGCGGCGTGGGAGACACAAATGTCAAGATCCACCTTGAGGTTCTGGAAATCTGTGACAACGAGGAGGCCATGGACAGCGTCTCCATCATCTCTAACATCAGCCAGTCCTCCACCCATGCCCGCTCGCCATCTCTACGTTACTCAAGAAGAGAGAACCGCTTTGTCTCTTGTGACCTGGGCGAGACGGCTTCCTACTCTCTGCTCATCCCCGGCAGCGGCAATACAGAATCCGAGACCATCAATATCACTATACCAGACACCGTAGAGGCGCACCGGCAGAACAGCCGACGGCAGACGCAGGAGGGCTCGGGGTATCAGGAGGAGATACAGCTGCTTAATGAAGCCTACAGAAAGCAAGCTGGAGAGAGAGAAGAGTGATGTTAAGGTTTATCTCTATCAGGAGGGGGCTGCAAGAGTTCCTCTCACATAGAAGGATGAAAGACAAATTTCCTAATCATTCCACCTTTTTTTTTTAAAATTCTGATCACCACTTTAATAGAACTGACAGGTGAGCCAAATAGACACTTAGCTTCAAGCTGTTATAATAGCCTTTCACTTTCTTTGGGTAGAATCATGAGTGCACAGGTAGCATCAGAAGATTATAAAGAAAGAGATTTGAGTGTAAAAATAGGAGGGGAGAAATAATGGCAAACAAGAGAGATGAAGCCAAAGAGGAATGAGAAACAGTATTCTAGTGATCTGTATTCCCTTCAAGACTTTCACCATATGGCAACCTGTCATCATAAAGCCGACACTGAAAGAGAGAAATTCACTTAGGCTTGGAAAAGGAGGGGCCGACGTCTGGTCACATGTTTCCTCTGGACTACGTCACCAGTGACTCAGCTGTGAGGGGAGGGCTCACCTGACCCCTGTGTTCTGACTCATTCCCCCGTGTGTGTGTGTGTGTTTTTGTGCATTTGTGTGTGTGCGCGTAAGGGTGTAAGTATGACAATAATGGTTTTTGATTGCAGCTACCAAAAAAAATATATATTTTGAGGATTGTTTTGCATATTTTTCTCTTAACTGTTGTGTGTTTTTTCTTTGGATTAGCCACTCTGTCAGTCATATCTGGCTTGTCGTCATGTGTTAATTCTGCTGCACTCGTAATGAACATAGACCACCACCACCCATGCTGAAAATCTAAAGGGACAGGCAATGCATTTAAGAGAGAGTGCACAAGATATTAGAAGAAGATGTAAAAGGGGATGCTTGTGCAGATTAGATTTTCTGCCTCGTGCACCTTTAGTGCAAATGAAATGAGTGACAGTTTGCATATTTTACTATATTATAGAATAGGCAGCATATGAATGTACATTCCAGAGCCACTTGGAGATATTGTGTCTCTGCCTGCTCAGCTCACTGCCCATCCAATCAGCAAGCAACTGGACCCCTCTCACTTTACATGAAATAAATGCATTTAGATGTGGAATCTCATTTTCATACATAGCACAGTTTATTTCAGTACTGTTTATGAATTATAACATGGACTTTGTATATTTATTTGAAGCCAATGAATATATTTATCTTTTTCATAGATTATATCGGTCTATCCTTTCCTTATATGCACATATCTCTGAGTGTTTCTATCCAATCGCAGTACCATAGTTATTTCAAAGCAACTGTAAAAGATATATTTATTTCATTTTTCCATGGTGACGTCTCTTATGTTTCCTCTTTTATTGCTCGATCTTGAACACAACCTTGGTACTTTGTGGACTTCATTTTTCTGGCATTTAATTTATACTTTAGCGCGCCTACTTCATCAGTGGCGACATGCTCCATCCTCCTGAAAGAATGTTGTCATTAAAGATTCATAGCAGGAAATTGCCTCCAACGAGATTGCAGTGCATTTCTACTTCACATGCTCAAAGGGGGAAAAAAATGTAAAAGAAAATACCATTCATGCCAATGACTCACACTGATTGTAAAGCTGTTTTCAATGTCAACCATTTCTGCTGTTAATGGAGTCAAAGGTCTTTAGCTGAGCTTTATCTCTCCAGACGAACAGGAGTGGAAGTAATTTGATCTTCTGCTTATTTTCACTTAAAAAAAAAAAGAAGAGGCTTCTTGTCTGGCATTCTCATAAACCATTGTGATCAATAAACTGCTATTTGCTCTCTTTGCAGGACATTGGGAATTGTGCATTTGCAGTTTGCATGTTGACTCAGCCGTGTCAACCATCTGGACTAATTTGGCAACAAAAAATCTGCACACATTTGAGTTCTCCGTTACAGAATAAAAGCAAGTAAAAAGCACGATATTTAACGACTCAATGAAACTGACCTAGAAAGATAGCAGCCATCTTTGCTTTTTGTATCCCGAAGGAAGACAGGATTGTGACTAATCCAAAATAGATTACAATATTTGGATTATGCTCTTGTAAGTGTTTTAGCTGACATGAAATCGACAGTTCAGATATTAAATTGTGTTTCAGGATGATTTGACAAATTCTTCTTTTTTTATCTATTTGTATTGTATCCTTGTTTTGTCATTTTTTTTATCTCGGTGTACGTGCAAATATAGCCTTTGTGGTAGGAGAGAGTGTGAGAGAGTGGAAAGCAAATATTGGGAAGGCAGGAGAAAAAGTAAGGGCACAAAGGGTAGCAAAAACAAAAGGAACAACGTTATAAAAAGCTGTGAATATCAAAGGTCTTGGCAAGCAGCTATTCCAAATGGTTCATCTTGTATCTGATCCAAGGACTCCCACATCCCACTCATAACCTGGATCACAGTGAAGCAATAAGGCGCAGGTAAGGCTGAATCAAAATGTAGCATCAGTGGCACTGCTTGAGTCCTCTCTCTCTCTCATCAAATGCACCCTCATGAGTACAGCATGCATTATTGAGGCTGTAAGCAGGAGCATGACGTTGGTACATTATAGGCCTTTTATCTAGGATCTTTTTAATTTTTTTACTTTAAATGAATCATCAGAGTTCAAGATCCATTTGTATTCATCCAAAGTAGCAGTGGTTAAAAGAGTAGGGGAAGGGACACAGAGAGTGCAAAGCAGTCATTTTTTCCTTCATGTCCTTTTATTTTTCACATTCTAGGATTCTCACCCCCTTCCATCACACACCTCAGCATAATTCTCAGCATGTTTTAGACACTTACTTACCCCCCATTTATTGCTGTTTCTCTTTCTCTTTTACTTATTTTAGTCCCTCCACTGTTCCCTTCAGGGCAATGGGCTGAGATTGTAACTTTTGGAAATAAGTCCAATAAGTATTGACAAGGCAGGCAACTTCTTGGGGCCTCAGAATAGCAGGGGGCCCCCTTGAGGTCTCATAAACTTTAAACCAAAGCAGTGACCCAAAATGTGCAAATTTTGCAATGACAGTAGGAAACCTCCTTAAGGGGGCCCCATCTGACAGCACTCGCGTTGCATGCATTATTGCTGTGAAAACCAAAGTTGGCCAATGAATGTCAACAAAGAAAATTGAAGAGGAATTATTTGTTTACAGGAGAGAGAAATATAAGAGGAAAAGGAGGTAGAGGAGTAAGCATCGGGACACTGACAGACCTCATGATGATTAACATTGTTTGGGCCCCCAATTGATTTTTGCTTAGGGTCCCAACAGACTAATTGCCACGAGCTGTGATGAAATTATGCAAGGCACTGCCACTTACAACAAGCGAATTTGATCACAGTTCATTTATAATATTTTTTTAAAATGAGCTCTGCTCAAAGGCATATGAATATTTTTCTTATTAAAGCTGAATATCAAACATTTAATGAGAGAGCTGATGAAACTGAACTGACTTTACACAGTCACAATAATTCAGTTCATCCACATGAATGCACCTAACATTTCCTTTGGCTATTATTTTTCTCTTCTTTGTATCTTTGGGGTTTCTCAGAGGGGACATCTGGATTTCTTTCATCACATTACAGTCGATGACTCAAGAATGTGGACACACTGCACAAATTTTCATTTCCTTGTTAGCAAAGATGAAATGTATCACATCCACAGACATTCTTTGACAGAACAGGAGAGTGTGTGAAGAGAGGAAGTTCATTTGAAAGTGTTGATGCATGATATTGCATGACAGCAACACAGCCTGAGGGGGAAATCTACATGTGCAGTCTCCAAAGAATTATGCATACAGCCGATGAGTGACTCCCTCTCACCTTTAGTCCGTCTTTCTATTCCTTTATCTATTCGCTCCATGGCACATAATCGTACTGTATGTGCTGCTTTAATTTAGAATGAGTGAGGCAGAATAAGAGAGAATAAGAATGAGGAACACACATCCTTCAATATCTAACTGAAAACAAGAGGCTGATAAGTACAATTCAATAATACATGTTCTTTAATATGAACATTAAAGACAACCAGTGAAGGGTGAAGAGAAGAAAATAAATAAAAAACAGCATGATGGCAATCCACATGATTATTGGAAAACCAACAAAGCAGAACCAGTTATGACTACACTTCCATTCAAATTGTGCTGCACAGACTGAAAAGTGTCATGTTATTTTCAAATAATGTGATTTATTAAAATCAAAGTCACGTACTGTCAAGGTTAAAAAATATTCTCCCCATGTAGGCAGACTATAGTCCTCATCCCTTTGCTGTCTGTCATACACCACTCTTTCCTCCCTACAGGTCCTGTATGACAGACAGCTAAAAGGAAAAAAAAAAAAAGAATGGCAAGGGACAGGATAATAACACAGATAATGCTGAATCAGCATTTCCACTAAGTACATTTTCACTTAGTTAGTAGTGATCATCCTGCAGAGCATATTGTGACAGAGTGAAATGTACAGCTGCAGACTACATTAATGTGAGGTAAGACTACTGTTAGAAAAACATATCCACCACAATGCCCACAATACTGTAGAGCGGCAGACATTTTAAGGTTATTCTGCCTGTAGCAGTCATGGACGATCTTTTTTTATTTGACTGTAACCTTTAAGGTCCAGACAGCAGGTCGATCCCTGATGATCTGCTGAGCTGGGAGCAAGATACAATAGTTACAGCAGCTGCAGTGACAGCACTGACAGTCTCTGCTCTATATAGGGTAGAGCTTGGATATGAATCTTTTTAATCCTTGCTATTTCCGGAACTCAAAGTGGATTCACCCCTCATGTAAACTGTTGATATTTCAAAATAAGGCTCGAAGGGTAAAAGTATTAAATTGCAACAGAATCTAAACATTTTCTTGTCATTTTTTGTCTGATTAAATATCAATATTGTGATTTTGTTACTAACAGAAATAACATCAGCTCCACAGGGCTGGTTGAAATAAACAGAACATCATGAGTGATAAGAATTCATGAAAATGAGAAGAAATCATATTTAATACATTGTGTAGTTAGAAACAAATCTAAGGAAATGCATTTTTCTGATGCTCTAACTAAAGATAGTAAATAATAGGCCTATTATAAGAGCAACAGGTTCATGCAAATATGATATTTTCCTTTCTGTCTTGCAAAAAGTATAAAGCATATTAAAAAAACACATTTAGTATGGAGACAAGAAGCAAATAAACAACCACTTAGCCAACTGTAGGCTATGGAGACTAAGTATAGGCCTGTCTTTTGTTGAAAGTGATCAAAGATTCAGTAGACCTACTGAAATATCTTGCATCCTGCACTCTGTTAAAATGATAATACTTTATTTTTAAATGATAAGCAACATGGAATGATTAAGTGTGCAGCTCTATTTTAATAGATTTTGTGGAACAAAATTGCGTTTACATTTTATACACAAGTATAATGTTTTTTTTTTCAATACATTTTAACATACTTTTAACTGCCCGAGAGACTGTTGAAAAAACAACAACTACAATATGTGCTTGGTTCGAGGCTTGGTGGGGAAGGGCGAATAACCAATCAGAGAGCGTCACGCCAATATCAGTCGACCGCTAACTCTGACGTCAACACGGTGCGACGTTGCAGAATGAATTGAAGCACAACAACTGCTGCATTTTGACAACAGCGTTCAAAAGCGGTTTAATACTTTAACTGTAAATGTCACTAAGAAGAGATGAGCTGTCGGTGAATTCGTAGGTTTTTCTACATTTCTATCTGTCAGTCTCTGGTTCAGAAGCCAATCTTTGATTATGTTGTAGCTTAGCAACGTCGGAGGGAAGCTAAATATCGACACAGCGGTCTTTTTGGTCTATTATCGGCTTTACTGAAAAGGCTTTTACTTTCTGACGGTGTTATGAGTTACGCGTATGGCGGTGGAGGCGGTGTTGGTGGTGGTGGTGGTGGGAGAAGAGGCAGAAGAGGAGGTGGAGGGCACAGAGATGGAAGTAGAGAGAGGTGGGACAGAGGAGGTAGAGGAGGCTCAAGAGGACACAGTTCTGACTTTGACCCGGACGGAGGAGGAGGAGGAGGAGGAGGAGGAGGAGGACAACGGGACCGACCTCCTCCACACCTGAAAGGCCGAGAGATTGGTCTGTGGTACGCACGATACGGAGCTGTGAGGAGGAAACAAGCTGACCGGAGATCGGTATGGATTATTCTATTCAGCTTGATGTAGATGCTCTTTCACGTGGTGTTGAGCAGAACAGGTTGTGACCCGGATGTCAGTTTAAAACAGACATAAGAAAGTGTTAATGAACTGTCAACCTGCTCCTACATACATCTACCCTCTCTGCCGAAGTTTAAACTGCAAATGATATGCACTCTGAAGCAGATGAATAGAATAATAGAATGTCTTTATTTGTCATTATACAATTGTACAACGAAATTATTTGGCTTCACCTTAAAGTGCACACACATACAAGCATCCACAGCTAAAAACAACAAAAGAAGAAGAAGAAAAAAAAGGAACTCTCATTCATGTAATATGGGCAATGTATGGTAGGCGTTATTTACAGGTAGTAGCATAACAGAATATAAATAGATATTGCAGAAATATAAAATAAATATTGCACAGTATGAGATGTAAAATATTGCAGAAATATAAAATAAATATTGCACAGTATGAAATGTAAAATATTGCAGAAATATAAAATAAATATTGCACAATATGAGATGTAAAATATTGCAAAAATATAAAAAAATATTGCACAGTATGAGATGTAAAATATTGCAAAAATATAAAATAAATATTGCACAGTATGAAATGTAAAATATTGCAAAAATATAAAAAAATATTGCACAGTATGAGATGTAA